AACATTTTAACAGAGTGTACCCATGAAAACCATTTAACCTGCTTTAACAACCATTGTACTCAAATTATTTCCCATAATTCTTGGACATGTATGTATAAAAAGACTGTAGTGGGGGCTGGGGATTTAGCTCAGCGGCATAAGCTCCTGCCTTGCAAGCAGGCAGTCGTGAGTTCGATCCCTGGTACCGATAAAAAGGAAAAAGACCAAAAAAAAAAGAAAGAAAAAGAGTAGATACAGATAATTCGGTGAGAAAGGGGATTATCAAAGTAATTCCCAGTTGTTTCAAAGATGCTATTTTTCTACCCTTGTCTAGAATACAAAACCATTCAATTTGATGACCACGTCATTTTCACACTTCTCTTTCTTTCTATAATGGAGATGTTTCATGAGTAGGATGCCAAGATAAAAGATTTCTCCTGTGCTAAACAAAGAATGTCTTTTATAGCTCATGTCATTCCATGAGTGTAAGAAATACTCAGTTGGGAACCACTTATTAGCTAATGATTCTTTAGTCTCTTTTCATCTTTGGATTTCTCATTAGTAAAATAATGGGCTGGATTTTATCAATGGTTCTCTAAACTTTTTACTGTGGTCACAATAAATACCCACAATGTAAATGTGTGTGTATGCTTGCATCACAAATTTTTTTTCACTGAATTATTCTTACTTACATAGCATGGGATGCATCTTGAGAATTTATTCCATTCCTTCCTTTAAAAATCTGGTCAGTCATGATCTATTAACATTAAGAAGCATTAATGAGGATCCATTGGCAATTTTTAAAAAGGCATCATTCATTTATTATTACTTGGTCAGACATTTTATAATACTCTAATGAGTATCAATGGGGTGCCATAGATGGGAGCTAGAAAAATGTTATGAAAAGAGTAAAGACTCTATCCTTAAGAGGCTTACATCCTGTGTGGTGTGTTTGATAAGCTTCAAAGAAGGAAGGAAATTCCAACTGAATCAGCTAAAGCCACTGAATGGGTTTAATTTAGGAACAAAAAACCATCAGAAATGTAGGTTTTCCCAAATCCTAGGCAACCAGTCACAGTAAGATAAAGTAGTCTAAACCCCAAGTTGTGTGATTTTTGTGTCAATTAATTTCCTGTGAATCCAAATCTACTCCAGAATCAGCTTGACAATTACTGGATATCTCTCTTTCTCTTTCCCATTCTTTTCAAAGATTAAAGTAGTTGACTAGGCCCTCTTTTAAGATAAGAAATTCCAGAAACCAGAAGCTGGAGGAAGTACATGGCCATCTTATCCTCATATTCACACACTCTCCATACAGCATTTGCAAACCTGTAGGCGTTTAGCAAATGTCCCCCTTCACCCCCAAAAATCATACCTTACTTTTTTTACCCAGCAGATGGAAGAACCACCCCTAAATCACTACAGAATAACCCAGGACACAAAGATACCACCATCTGATTTCTCCTGAGAATTTAGATACGGAAAGGCAAGAATGTAACAGGACTGAAAAATTCTGGGCAGAGTGAAGAAAGAAATGTTTCTTTTCAGTGACTGCTCATGGCCTGTCCCAGCAAGATGTTTTCCAATTGGATTCTCTGGGAAATATCTCTTTGCAAGCTTAGATGCTGGTAGCATGATCTTTCCAATTTTCTTTCATTTGCCAAGCTTTGAAACACCGGCTAAAATTATGCAATATCTCTGTTTTTTCTTACTTCAAGCTTTATGCAATGGTCTTCCAACCATAGTACTTCCTACTTTAGCAGTTAGGGATGGTTATCACAGACTAATCGAGCCCACCACCTCCCAAATAAGTGGATGGTGAAGGCTTAAATAAGAGACGAATGGTATGATTTGAGGGCTACAGAAGGATCAAAACCGTTTAGCAAAATTCAACATTCTCTGGGGGTTAAGACAAAGAACTTCTGTGGGTGGCCCATATTTATTTGGTTTTCAGACAAAGGAAAGGATTAAAGTGGATAGTGTGGGAGAACCGGCAAAGCTCCCTGTGAGGCAGCAAAAGTTACTCTGGCCAGGGGAGAACTGGAACCCAAGCTTCCTCCATGAACCTGCAGAAGTTGTGCTGGATGGGGAGAACCAGGAAGCCACACACACACACATACAAACATACCATAAATCAGCCACAGACCAGGAGAGAAGAGCTGTTTCCCCCACCCCCAAGCAACTGGTAGATTCAGTGGGACACAGGCTGAGATAATAGCAACTGAAGTAAAGAAACAAGTTAATGCTTGTATTGGTTGATTGACTTTGTAGGCCTAAAGCCAGTAGTCCTAACAAATATTTAGAGGATAATGAGAGGCATTATGGTAGCCATTGTTAATTTCCTATTATCTTGTTTTGAAGTCCTGTATCATTTTCATTGTTTTGTTTTGATTTCATTTCATTTTGTTTTGTTTGATTTTATTATGTCTGATGGTATGGGCAGCTATTTTGAAGATAACAGAATATATTATGGTAGCCATTGTTGACTTTCTATTTTCTTGTTTTGAAGTCCTGTATTACTTTCATTGTTTTGCTTTAATTAGCTTTATCCTGTTGTACTTTAGTTTTTATTCTCTTTAAAATTAAAGACAAAATTTCCCTTAAAAATTAAAAAAAAAATAAAGTGGATAGCATGGGAACTGAGCAGGACCTTACCAATCAGTTCAGAGTTCTCTTTTTTTTTTTTTTTTTTTTTGGTACCAGGGATCGAACTCACGACCTCGCGCTTGCCAGGCAGGCGCTTATGCCGCTGAGCTAAATCCCCAGCCCTAGAGTTCTCTAAGTAATAAATAATGTAGTTAGGAGAACTGTCTTATATCCAAGTGGACATTCACCACAGGAGTAAGACACTTGCAGCTACAGTCTCTATTTAGTTAACTGAAGTTGGAGGTAGGCATCAGCGGGGCCTCTTTTTTGAGGCATCATGGCATCACAGACCACTACAGGCCTCATCCAGGACCAGTGATTCATAGAGATTTACTTACTATGAATCTGATGCTCATTTTCAGACAAGGGGCTTAGATCTGGGACAGACCTACAAGTAAACATAGAAAGCCAATTGATTAACTTTAAATCCCACCCAGACCACTTTTTAATGGTCTTCATCAGATGGTCATTCCTATCTTCTTCTGTTCCACAATGTGGGAAATGGTTGGTACAGATGGAAGTACAATATATGCTTAATAGCTCTGTTTGGAGAAATAATATATAAACTCTCAATAATACCAAACCTTCTCAGGATCCAGGTTGTTCTGTTATCGTTTCTTTAACAGACATAACTATAATAGTCTATTTTCTGTTGTCATGGAAGAATGCCTGAGACTAAGTGATTTATCAAGACTAGAGGTTTATTCTGAGTCTTAATTCTGGAGGCCAGAAAGTCCAACACCATGCTGATGACATCTTCTTGGCTGCTGGTAAGGGCTACATGCTACTTCCGTGCACTCAAAAAAATCAAAGAGCAAGTGGAAGACAGCAAACACAAGGGGAAGCCTTGCTCTGCAATAACTACTTTGGGATAACTAATTTTCTCCTATGAGAGCAAGAAGTCACTCATAAGAGAAAGACATTAATTCATTCATGAGGGTAGTAATGATCCAATCATTTCTTAAAAGTCCCACCTTCCACCACCACAATAGCAATTAAATTTCAATACGAGTTTGACAGAGAATAAATCAGATTCAAACCAGAGTAGCAACATTGGTGGCTTGTCCCAGGGGATGGCATTTTTATAAGGACATAGACCAACAGTTTCCTGCACTCATGCACTTCTGATGTACAAAGTAGATAAAAGATATTCTATTAACCATTTAACTAGCATTCTTTTCTGGGAAGAAGTCAGTTGAGGGATAAGCCCCACAACTCCTTCCCCACCCAACCATGCAGTTCAGGCAGGAAGGTCCTTCCACATGTATCCTCATGACATGGGATTTTCTTTTAGTAAAACATTTAGAAAAAACCCCAGGGAATTGGTGAGCAATGTCAAATTACTGAAAACTGAAATTACCCATCCATTGCATTATCCCTTATCCACAGTATAGGATGGGAGCCAGCTATTGGGAGAACTGTTTTCACCAATTCCCTGGGGTTTTTTCTAAATGTTTTACAGTCCTGCTTTACCATCAGAAAATGAAAAGAAAAAAAAAATTTAAGACAAGAACACGAAACAGAAGTAGTAAGAGAAAAAAAAGAGTCATCAGAAGAGTAACTTTTGGGCAGGATAAGATAAAATGTCACCAATAGTTGCTTTAGTTGTCACTTAGAGCATCCATATCCTGGGCTTCCTGAGCCTTACATGAATTAGTGAAACCCAACAAGAAGATCAGCTCTGACAAACAGCAGTATAAATAAAGCTGCTGTCTGTATTACTAGTAACTATCCATGTCCCTGAAGTATGCCTTTTACGTGAGGTTTATCACCTATCATGTCCCAAAAACTGGCTGGTCAGAAATACGTTTTTTTTTTTTTAATTCACTTTGACAAATCTCTGGACACCTGGATTTTGGGTTTTGTTTGCTCTTTGTTTTTATTTTCAAACTCTCCCGTGCTGCTAGTAATCTATGTTTCTTTCCCTGATAATGTTTCAGGAATAGGCTTACATTTTTTTTTAAGGAAGAAAGAATCCATACAAGCTCTCTACAAAGCAGCAAGACAAAAATGTCCACGGTGCTGACAGTATTTCTTTTTCCTCATTTAAGTCTTTCCCTCTGAAGGATCTGCATTCTGATCAAGTCATAGATGATGCAGGTATAAGCCAGAAGTTATGATGAACACTCTCCAGCTCTTAGGCCAACAAATACCACAGACCTGTGCACTGAGACCTGAAGAAGGTTGCAAGGACGGCTTGAAACCATAGCGAGGCAGGGACTGTGGGTACAGTAAAGAAAGGGTGGGGGAGAAGGATATACCACCCGCATAAATTAAGATGATTTCGCCAGTTCACTGACCATTCCTGAGCAACTCTTGGCCCACAAAAGCAAGGGTCGGGGCCATTAACACTTTGACCTTGACCAATCATTTACCTTTCAGTCGAACCTGGACAGCAACCTTTTCCCAGAGCTAGGAGAAAGGAGTGCCTGACCCGGAACGAGAGGACTAGGGCGGCGCAGGGGAAGGAGCAGCCGCCTTCTAACCACTTGCTCCAGCTCGCGACCTCCTTGAATGAGCTAACGCCAAACTGCACCACTCTGTCTTCCTCTCCGCAGTCCACCACGCCTGCCGCGTCTTCCCAGCTCCTGGAGAGGCCACGCCGAGGCGAGGGGGCGGAGCCATCGTCACATTTTTTTTCCCCCCCAAACCCGCCCCCTTTTTCCGTGGCCGCCTTGAGAAGGCGGAGGCTCGCAAACAGCGCACGCGCAGACGGATTCCCCTCGCGTCGCAGGCCCCGCCCCTCTGGCGGAAGCTCTGGATTCGGCGCTGTCGTGGTCGCCGAGCCCCGCCCGACGCTGTGTGTTGCCGGGGCAACCCGAAAGGACTCAGCCAAACCAAACGCAAGTGGCGACGGCTATACGGGCAGCAACGATGTCTAACCCTGTGCACGGTCTGCCTTTTCTCCCGGGCACGTCCTTTAGGGACTCTACGGTGAGGATTTAGGTGCCCACCCCAAACTGTCCTCATCTGGCGGCCCGAAAAACCCGCTACTTAGTGCATCTCTATTCTCTGCCCTCTCTCTTCAAACTTGTCGTCGGCTCCGACTTCCTCCATACCGAGGTTCGCCAGTACTCTCCGGCACAGGCTCCCTCACCTACCTCTGCCCTCCGCCCCATTCCTCCAGCGTTTGCGCAGCCTTCGAGTTCCAGAGCGCTCTTCGCGCAGTAGGAATTGCTCAGCTCCTCCGGCTCGCACCCCTTCTCCCAGTTGTCCCTGTGCGCCCTCCCGTCCCCTGCCCTCGGGCTCTGCTTAACCCTGAGCTCTTTGTCTGACCTCAAACCCCGTCTCAGCTCATCCTCCTTAACCCCCAGCCTCCGCCCATTGACACACTCGGCTCCCTCTGCCTTCACTTCCATCGCGTCCGCTTTCCCCAGAACCAGCGTTCTCGCCCTGCCCTCTTCCTCCTCAGAATCCTGGACCAAGTAATCTTTCCACTTCCACTTCCAGCTCCGCTTTTAGTCTGTGTCTCTATCATTTCCACTCATTCGCTTCCTTCTGCCAGGTATTTTTCCACAGTATCCACCCTTGTTGTTTAAACTTCCATTTAACCTAACCTTTTTCTCTCTCAGGCTTCTTCTTCTTCTTCTTCTTCTTCTTCTTCTTCTTCTTCTTCTTCTTCTTCTTCTTCTTCTTCTTCTTCTTCTCTTCCTCACCTTTTCTTTTTTTCTTCTTTTTCTCCTCCTCCTCCTCCTCCTTCTTCTTATCAAATCCTGCTCTCTGCCTTCTACCCCTACTTCTGAACCCCATTCCCCATTTTGTTTTCTCTTCAACACTTACCGGTCTTCCCTGTAAGCCATCCTTCCCTTCTCTGTAAAGGATAGGTATCCTATTTGGGTTTCCTCAACTGTAGTGGATTAGTTGCTGTTAGCCCTATACTTTTCGCTCTGGCATTTTCTATAAAATACTTATATTTTGCTCTTTCTACCAACATTAAGAGAAATGCAACAACAGCAGATTGAGTTCTTTTTCCTCTTGACGTAGTTTAGCTCTTAAATTTAGTATTTGTTTTAATTCTAATAGTGTTGCTAAAATATATGTTCTGGAAAATAATTATGGAGATTTAGAAGACTAATTATCACAGATTAGCCAATAGTAATTATGTAGTTTAATGGTTTGAACTCAAGTTCTTCACAATCATAAATTAAAATATTAATATACTTATATGATTCAGGATAATCTAAATTTAAATTGAAAGTGCGGTGAAGGAATTTGGAATCCACATCTGTTATTATTATTGCTTTGAGAAAAATTCATAGATTTTAAATTTCGGTGGACTTCAGTTTTATGTAATTTAGAAAATGTAAGCATTTTCCTGCCATCCACTGAGTCAGCCTAAGTGTTTGGTGTCAGTGAGTGGGGTTACTCACAAGGCAGGATTCAGTTGATTCAGGGGATTATAAACGTGGATGGAAAACAGGCTGTACATGCCACACCATAAGCAAGCTGAGCTGTGCATTGGGCAAATTTCATGTTGTAAAAATACTGCCCAGAGTGTCCACCTTTTTAACTTAATTCAAATTTGACATGCGCAGTCACTGACTTCAGCAGAGACAGAATAGATGTATGTAACTAAAATATTCTAAGGTTGAATCATCATGTTAAGCAAAATGTGGAGGCTTGAGGATGCCTTGCCTGGATTGAGCCATTGTGCTCTGTGACTCATAGCCAAGTGGAACTGGAGACATTTATCCAAAATAATAAAAGTAAACTGCCGCCATTGGTGTTGCTCCTGATTTTTTGATCCTGGGGATTAAGTTCAGGGCCTTGCACAGGCCACGTGTGCATTCTACCACCAAGCTGCATTCTCAGCAGTTACTGATACTCAGCGGTTACTGTTTCTGTCGGTAGAGGCAGAGAAAGAGAAATTTTAAGCTATGCAAGTTACCCAGTGGAGAAGTCAATCAGCCCATTTTGTTCTATGTCTTGTGTGTTATGCACCTAGAACAGTTGTTGTAAACTGATTTGTGACCTTGAATGTGTATAACATTTTTTTAAAAGTCCACAAATAATAAGTTTTGGCAAAAGAAGCTTTTCTGTTGTATCTTTTGTGTTAGTACAGGTCTCAAAAGATAATAGGCTGGGCAGTAAAAGAATTAGGATGTGGGCTGGTAAGACTTTTTCTTCGTAAAAATATATTTCATGATAATATATATATGTGTAACTATAATTACTACATAAAATTTAAAAGTGACCTCACATTTATACAGAACAAAACAAGAGAAGCCACCAAGTTAATTTTCTAATTTGTTTTTCTACTCTTTTTTAATCTTTTATTTTTTTAATTAGTAATAAAAAATGTTCATTACAAAAAACATCATTTAGAAATGTATGATACATATAGAGGACATTCACCAAATCCATTCTCTTTTCACACAAATGCTTGCAAGCTTATAATTGTAGTATATATATAATTTTACCTGTTGTCTTTTTGGTGTTTTTGCATCATAAGTACTTTTCCCAAGATTGCTAAATGATTTTTAAAACTATTATTTTAACATCTAGATAATATTCCATGGAGGTTTTCAAAAGTCTTTTGGTTTTTTTCAAAGTTATTCTTTTGTAAATAACATGGTTAGTGCTAGCTTTAGGCAAACAGTTCTATCACATGATTTTGGATAATTTCCTTGAAATTTAAATGATTGATGGAGAATTATTAAGTTCAAAATTTAAATATATGCTATTCAGTTGCTTTACAAAGAGTTGTATGAATGTATGCGTCACTCAAGAAAGTGGTTAAAAAATAAAATTCACAGAACCAGATCTTTTGCATTCCTTCATTTGTGATCTTCAGAGAAGATGAAAAATTGGAGGACTATTGAAAAATTAACAGTGTAAATTAGATAGTATTTTATGTAAGATGAGCTGGTAGTTAACTTGGGTTTTACAGAATATAGCTTTAAATTTTAAGCTCCGATGGCCATTCCTACCTTCCTCGTTCTTGTTCAGTGTCTTAGTTTAAGATACAGAACATTTTAATGTCAGGAAAATTTTTGAAATTTTGTGATGTCCATAAGCAAAGGTTTAAGTTATAATATTTTTAAAAGTTAATTGCTATACTTACAAATACTTAGTGTTATTAATAACATACTTCTTTTCTTCTTCTTCAGAAAATAGCCTTTCACAGAAGCCAGACGCTGGGCTACAGAAATGGCTATGCAGTTGTACGACGCCCAACAGTTGCGATTGGTGGGGACCGGCTTCAGGTTAACCAGCTGTCCCAGGCTGAGCTGGATGAGTTGGCCAGGAACGCACCCTTTCTAACTTATGGCCAACCGAAGCAGGCTCCACCTGCAGAGTTTATTCCTGCATATGTGGCTTTTGACAAGAAGGTATCATCTGGGATTTTAGGGAACCTCTCAAATTCAAATGTCTTTGAGCCAACTGCTTACAGAAAAGCTAACACTAAAACCACAGGGCTCTCAAGTGCTCTGAAGAGAAAATTGTTCAAATGCCTCAGCCCTTAGTCACAGACAGCTGAATTCAGTCTTGAAAGAAGCTTTCTTTAGTCAGGAAACTGATTGCAGAAAATAATTCCCTGCAGACTTCACTGGAATATTTTCCAAATACGGTTAAAGAAGAGTTATATGGATTCTAAATTCTTAAGTTCGTATTGCCCTGTGTTGACCTGCTCTTTGCTTTCCATTTTTTAAGAATACTGTATTCTATAATGATAAGTCCTTTATCTCTGCGAAATGCAAAATAGCATCATGAAAACAGTGATTCCATCTATTGTCATTTTTTTCTAGGCTAGCTCAGTAAGTTTTCAGAGAACGTTTCACATTTGGTATTACATAACCAGAAGGTGGTATTATAGTTTTGGTTGTTTCTTAGTTATCTTTATGCTTTTGCAGTGTGGGTTGCTTTTATTTCCATCTGTTGGTATTTCCTCATTACCCTTGTTTTTCAATAAAAAGGAGTAAACCTACCACTAACCATACATCAGAATCATTGGTGAGACTTTTAGGAAATCAGATGTCATGACAGCCTCCATGGAGATATATGTGGATATATATATGTATGTATACTGGATCTGTGAACTACTCATCAGTTTTTATAAGTTAGCTTTCTTACTTTACAAACTGTTTCGTTCCTCCATTCCACGCTTTCCTTTTTCCTTCCTGCTTTCTTCCCCTCCTCTCTCCCTCCTTTTCTATTTCCTTCCTTCGTGGACTGGGATTAAACACAGGCTGTTTACATTGAGCTACATCCTAGTCCTTTAAAAAGAAAAAAAAATTTTTTTGAGACTAGAGTCTCTATCCGGGCAGGGCTCAAACTTTTGATCCTCCTGGATCAGCCTCCCAGAGTACTAGGTGCTAGGATTAGGATTGCAGGCATCGGGCCACCACACTGGGCTTTTTTTTTTTTTTTTTTTTTTAAGACACGGTCTCACTTTATAGTTCAACCTGGTCTGGAATTGTGTATAATCCCACATGGCAATCTTCCTGCTTCAGCCCCCTAAGAGCTGGGATTACAGGTATGTACCACCATGCCCAACTCCTTTTTTTTTTTAATTAAAAAAAATGTTTTTTATAAATATGTGTCACATTTTCAGCCAGCCAGCCACCTTTTATTGAGTGTCTAATCTAAGCTAGAGTTTGGAGAAAAACTACTATTACATTAATAATCACTTTGTTTAAAATTGCTTTCATTCTGTCAGCCAGAATCCATGTCATCTGCTCTTTCCCATTTCAGCTTACTTAATTATAGGAACATGTTCAGTCACCCATTCATAGACAGAACTTAAACATCCACTACAATATAAATATTATAATTGGTTGTGTGGCTTCTTTCTCATATTTATAGCTCAATCGGCACTGCAAAATCAGTAACAGAAGGGAGAATGGTGAAAATACAAGGGGTGTGGGCTAGAGGATTAATGATTTATCAAGTTATAAATTCTAGTGTACTTAATTTTTATTTAAAAGAATAGCAAATAGCTAATAAAGTGAAAGGTGATAAAGTGATACATGGCATAAGAATTAGTGAAATTCAAAAGAAAAATTATACCTGAATAGGAAATACTTTTTCTGTCATTTTATATTGTCATTAATTTATACTAACAATATTCGTAATTCATTTATCAAAGATAGTACATGTTACTGAGCCTGGTTTGATATGCATGCCTTAACTCCAGTACTTGGAGGGCTGAGGCAGGAGGATTATGAGTTTGCAGCCAACCTGGGCTGCAGAGCACATTCAAAGTTTGCCTGGACTACATAGCAAGACCCTTCCTCTGAAAAAACAAAAGAAAAAAGAATATGTTAATTTTTATTTTACAATGAATTTGTTTGGATGTTTATAATTTCTATATAAATTATACTCAGCAGCAGAAATCTGTGGTTTTGAAATTGCAGTAAGGCCATTATAGTTTTTCTGAATTGAATTAGTTCAGCTTTTGTAAGGAGTATCCGAAAGTGTACTTAATAGCCAACATACTTATCCATAATTTTGAATATTCTTGAGGCTATTTCTCCTGAACTATAGAATATAACCACTTTTTCTTTGGTGATGAGACCAGAACATCTGCTCTATGTGCCCTGATCTTTTCTCCTTGCTCTCACATAATTTTCTCTGTCATCACCTATGATAGTCTGTTTCCCAGGTAACTTTCCATTTTGGGTTCCCAATGTCATTCTTCAACTTTCATTCTTTTCTTTTTTTTAAACCATCCTGGCAACGTCTTCTCCAGTTTGGATCATAACTGTGGCATCCCAAACTCCCTTTCTACCTTTAAGCAAGAGTTTATTATTCATCTGACTGTCAGATTATTAGTCTGACCCACTTCACCCTTAAACCCAAAACTACTGTTCCTAGATGGCCGGGGCTGTCGTTTGTACAGCTCCTGGAGGTTTGCTTTGCTGGGTTCTCTCTGGCCTGTTGGCGGCATCTGGCATTGATGACTCTGCCCTCCTGTGAGCCTCGCTCTCAAGACTTTCTGCTCTCCTGATGTTCTTCCTCCTCTCTACCTGCTTGCTTTCTCTCAGGCTTTCCTTCTCTCATTTCTATGTTGACAGCATTTTTAAGGTTGTTCTCATGCTTTATGTTATTTTCTTGCAAGATCTAGCTGGCCTTTGTGGTTTCAATTACTGTATCTTCTCAATTTAGACAACTGACAATATTAGTTTCAACTCTGTCTCCAGGAGACTCCAGGCCTCTGGCACCCTGCCCGTGGGACACCTTCACCTGGATGAGCTGTTAGCCCCTAAACTTCTGTGTGTCTGATGCCCTCTGTCACCTTCCCCTCCAACCTGCCCACAGGCTACCCAAGCCAGAAACACGAGCCGTCTTTCTTCCTCCGCGTCAAGTATGTCCCATTTTCATCTTTTTTGTCATTTCTTAGTTCAAATGAACCATCTGTCCATTTAACTGTGGTATCACACTCATACTTAGTCTGCATGTTCCTAACAGATTTACTGCTTGACTTATTTCCCAAACCGCAGCTCTAATGATATCATTTCTGGGGAAAATGCCATCAGAGTGTGATAACCAATACAGTAAACATCATCGCTATCTACTGAGTGCTTCTGAATGTCATCTTTGATTCTTCTTTCCCTTCACAACTCACATCCCATCTCTTAACCGACTGTTGCTTCTACCTCTAAAACATGTAACTAATCTGTGCACTTATGTCTATTTCCACTATTAATATACACTCATTCTTTATAAAGCAGGCAGGCTTACCTTTTAAAATTGGATTATGTCAGCACTGCCTTCAAACACTTCCGTTATTTCCTTGTCATGCATGGAACAAAGTTCAACTCTGCAGAGCCCCAGCTAGAACTGACCCTCCCTGGTGTTTCCCCACACTCATCTCAGGCCCCCCTTTTCCTCATTTATGGTGTTTGTTTCAACTTCATTGGGTTTCTTTTCCTCAGTTCCTTGAAATTGTGAGCACCTCACCCTTCAGGGCTTCTACAGGGGCTCTTTCTCTAAGCTGGATTTGCTTCCCTCTGCCCATCATGGCTGACTCCATCATTTCATCTGTCCGTGGGTCTTCTATAAGGCTTTTCCTAGCCCTTGTAGTAAGCAACTCCCTTTCTTTCTTTCTTTCTTTCTTTCTTTCTGTCTGTCTGTCTGTCTGTCTTTCTGTCTTTCTTTCTTTCTTTCTTTCTTTCTTTCTTTCTTTCTTTCTTTCTTTCTTTTGGTACCGGGTATCGAACTCACAACTGCACACTTGAAAGACAGGTGCTTATGCTGCTGAGCTAAATCCCCAGCCCTCCCTTTCTATTTTTCTCTTATAAGTTGCCTCATTTTGTTTTCTTCACAGCACTAATTTTTGTCTCTATCACTACTAAAAATGGATAAACTTAATGGGTGGCACATATATGTAATAAGTGAAATAAAAATACTACTAGGCTTATTATAATTGGGTGTGATACAAAAGTATTTATAATTTTTTGTCTCTCAATCTTGAAGTAAGCACAGATGTTTTCGTATTTATATGGCATTCTGAGTATTTCTTGGGAGTGAAAGAACTTGAGTTCTAATTCTGGATCTCCTGCCAATAGCTTTGTAACCTTGGAAAGGCACAGTGGTTGGTTTCCTTATCCATGAATGCAGAAGATTAGAATGTGTCACTGAGAACCTGGCCTGCTGTAAAATTCTATGAAAAGTATATCATATTTATTTTTATTTATGTATTTATTTTGAGACAGGGTTTTGCTATGTAGTTCAGGCTGGGCTCACAGGAATTTATCACCACACTAGGTTCTTTAGGAGGTGTTTTAATAAATGAAATTTTTATCATATAAAAGTTTTGTGTCAGTGGACTCTCAATAAACCAGAGAACTTGAGAATTTAATGCTCTAGTTAATTGACTAGTTAATTTCTTAGGTGAGTTCCCAAAATATTACATGTACATAATTTTATGTCTGAATAGAATCTAAACATAATAAAATGAATATAAAATATATATATATTATTTAGATCTTCTTTGCTTCAAAAGGAATGTTTAAATTTTTTGTTTGTTTTTTGTTGTTTGTTTTGAGTCCGGGTCTTGTTAATGTACTTCAGACTGGCCTTGAACTTGTGGTAATCCTCTTGCCTCAGCCTTCTGAATGCTGGAATTGTATTCATGCTCTACCATACCTGAAAAATTTTTGGATTTTTAAACAATGACCATGTTGTCAGAATTCTATAGATGCACAAAGATAGGCGATTAAGATTTGTCTATACTGATCATATGGCATAGTCTAGGTTTGCTCATAAAGAACTGATTGTTGAACATTTTGAAAACAGAATTCAAAAATTCTGCTCACATAAGCCTTTCATATTACTACACACACACACACACACACACACACACACACACACACACACACACCTGTGGCTCTGGAATCAGTCTTTGGGCCTCTTTTCCATCTCTGCTTACTCTTGTTAAATTCCAGATTCATGGCCTGCATGTCCTTTTAATATATGTACGTGTGATTACCTATTTGACATCGCTTGTTGAATATCTAGTAGATATATATCAAACAAAACTGAGCTGATTTTATCTCCCCCCCTCTCCAAATCTGTTGTGCTGCAGTGGTCTGCATTACTATCCATTTCATAATAATTCCATCCTTTTTGTTGTTTTGGCTCAAAATGTTTGAGTCATCTTTTTCTGTGCGCTAACATTGGCTTCCTTCCCATAACCCAGTCCTGCATTTTAAATTACCCCCAGCAATATCAGATTGTGCTGTCACCGAAATTCAGATGTCTATAATCAAATTCACCATCTGCCCTACCAAAATGATCTTTTCCCAAGTTTCCATTTCTATGGGATCATTACTCTATTCCCAGTGCTGTTTTTCTCACCTAGTTTCCATTCACCACTTGCTTACTAATAGTCCAGTCAGCCTTGCTCAGATTTTCCATCGATGATAACTATTAACTCAGATCTGAACCCTCAGAGGGGCTTTCATTCTGGTTGCCATGTGTAGCACTCCCCCACCACCCATCCTGCACTGTAGCCCGCATCCTGCTGCTGGGTTTCCTTCCTCTGCTTCTGTTTTTACCATTGCTTAGAATCTCCTCTGGTCTCCTTTATTTAGCTAAAACTTTACCACTCTTCAAAGTCTAATAACTTCTGTTCTTCTGAGTTAAGCTTTCTCTTTAGCTTTAGCCCCCACAGATTCCTTTTTTGAACCGCTGTAGTATCTGTTATCCAGGTAGTGAGACGCGAGGAAAACATGGGGTTGTAAGTTAGTAGACTCCCAGAGTTTCAGTGCCAGCTCTGAGCCTAACTCCTTTTCTGGCCTCAGATAAACCACAATAAATACTCACAGTACAAATGCATGTATTTATATATCTTGAACTTTTTTCACTAAATTATTTGCACCTGTAAAACATGATATGCATCATAATACTTTCTACTCTGTTTCTTCCTTTTTTTCTTAATTTGATTGTAGTCACAAGCCACTAAGTAGATTTTTAAGAAGTACCAGTGAGGCTGAGTGTTGTGGCATACACCTGTAATCCCAGCACTTGGGAGACTGAGGCAGGAGGATAGCAAGTTGGAGGCCAGCCTGGACTATATAGAAGGCTTCTATCTCAAACAAAACACTAAAAACAACAAAACAGCCCAACAATACAAAACAGAAAACCAAAAGTAGTACTAATGGGAATCTGCTGGCCAGTTGAAAGTTTTTTTGTTAACAGGTGATCTCTAAATTGAGGTTCATTTGTCTGTTTTGTTGGTCTGTTATTTTGTGACAGTTTATTGAGTATCTATGTGGTGTCATAGATGGGATCTAGGAAAATGAATGAAACAAACCAAAAACTATCCGTAAGAAGTTTACATCTTGTGTAGAATGTTTGGTAAGCTTTGAAGAAGGAATTGGCTAAAGCCATTGAATGGGTCTGAATGCTTTCTTTATAAAGCAAATAGGATTGGACTAGCTTTGGCATTTTGCATATTTATCAATTTGTCACTGAAATATAGGTTATTTCATATATCAATTATTTTGATCACATTCCTATCTTGCAAAATATTATCTATATTTTTGCTTTTTTGTGCTTTTATACATTCTACTGCAGACATCCCATTTCCTGTTTTTATGAGTTTCAAAAACTTCATTCCATTATATTTATATTTCTCCTATATGATAGCCAGTTTTCTTTTGTTTTTGTTTGTTTGAGACAGGATGTCACTCACTACTCTTTGGTTTCTATTTTGGCCTTCTCCAGACATCGAACCCCTATTAGGAACAACACTCATTCATAAAATTATTTCATCTTCCCACGTATCAAGCCACATTTGTGTCTTAATATTCAAGGGTCTTTCTGATTTGCTCCGGTCAGTCTAGAGGTTTCAGGTATATTCTTTTGCCAACATGGAATATCTCTGCATTACTTTCTTTCCCAGCTAACAAATATTAAATATAGAAGCAGTAACAGAAATTTAAAAACTAATCCCAAAGTATCTCAACGTAGCTGAGTGTATGTTACACACCTATCACTCTAGCTACTTGGTCTGAGCCAGGAGAATCACAAATTTGAGGCCTCCCTGGCCAATTTAGTGAGACCCTGTCTCAAAATTTTTAAAAAATTTTGAAGGCTGGCGATGTAGTTCAGTGGTAGAGTACCTCTAGGCTGGATTCCTAGTGTTGTCAGAACAAAACGAACCATGCTTTCATCATCCTGTTTCATACACGTGTATCTTTTTCTCTTTGGGAAATGGAGTCTTGCTGTGGAGTGCAGGATAGCCTTGAGTCTGTGATCCTCCTGCTTTAGCCTCCTGAGTTGTTGGGGTTACATGCACAAGCCACTGTGCCCATCTGTTTTATATTTTTGAAAATGTGAAATAAATGTTCCATTTTGACTTCATGTTGATGTTTTTGCTTCCCAGACGACCAAGGATATGGTCTGTATAATATGCATGTTTCTGAGGACTATGAGAACATTTACACACTCTCCAAATATTCTACGGTGATTTCAAATAGAATAAGAATGAATATACCATTAATGCGTGTCCACAAGGGACTCCATTTCTACAGAATTGAGCTTGAGCCTTTATTTTCACTTTAAAACTTAAAATTGTGGTCCTATCCAAAAGTTGTTTTGTTTTGTTACTGTTTTCAGCAGCCTGCAAGAGACGTGGAGGAAACTAGTAAAAGTCCTTTAAACTGTCTTACACAGAACACACAAAAGAAATAGTCCACACACACTGATGAGTATTGAGAGCAGATATCAGCAAGCCTTTTCTGTAAAGTACCACATAGTAAACGTTTGGGGTTTCCTCTGCTTCCTCTGTTACAGTGATGTTAATCTACCTAGGCTGCCATAACACAATGCCATGGGCAGGGTGACTTACTTATCTCACAGTTTTAGAAGCACGAAATGGAACATCAGGCTCCAGCCAATTCAGTTTCTGATTAGGGCTCTTGTCCTGGCTCCCAACAGCTGTCTTCTTGCCTGTATCCTCTCATGGCCTTTGCTCAGTGCTTGCTCAGATTGCTTTCTCTCTGTCTCTGTCTTTCTCCCCCCCACCACCACTTTTCTTCTTCCTTCCTTCTTTCCTTCCTTCCTTCCTTCCTTCCTTCCTTCCTTCCTTCCTTCCGCTTTCTTCTTTTAAAAAGCTATTCGTTTTGCAAGCACAAGGTCATGAGTTCAATCCCAAGTACCGGGGGAAAAAAAACCTATAGGTTTTGCCTGTGGTGGCACATGCCTGGGTTCCCAGTACTCAGGAGGCTGAGGCAGGAGGATCAAGCAAGTTGACCAACCTGGCTACAAAAGTGAGCTCAAGGCCAGCCTGTACTGCATAGCAAAACCCTGTCTCATAAAGGAAAAAAAAGTACTACCTATTGGATTAAGGCTTCAACCACTTAACTTTACATCCAAAAGACTGTAGTCATATTGGCAGTAGGGCTTTAATACATGACTTTGCATGGGGAGGAACTCATAATTCTGTTCGTAGTGGCAGCCCACATATCTCTTATCATTCCTTATAATGGAGGATCAACCACTAATGTTTTAATTATTTACATAATTTCTTTATTTGGGGCAATTTGAATTTTAAACAATTTCCATGTTTTCATATAATTTTCTGTTATGAAATATTCTTTTTAGGCTGGGTGTGGTGATACACTCCTATAATCCCAGCACTCTGGTGGCTGAACCAGGAGAATCACTGCAAATTCCAGACCAGCCTGGGGTACAAAGTGAGCCTAAAGTCAGTCTAAACCACATAGGGAGACCCTGGCTCAAAAATACAAAGAAAGAAAAGAAAATGCTTTTAAAACTTCTTTGACCTCTTAAATGTGAAGAAAAAAAGCTTATAGAGCATACAGAAAATGGGTGGCAGAACAGATTTGTCCCATAGACTATAGTTTTTCAATTCTTGAGTTAGAGGATAAGGTTGATGAATATTCAGATCATCCTGTGCGGTTCTATTGTCAGAAAGATACTTGATTTTTTTTACAAGATGACAAATTGATGCCACACCATTTCTTTTTCCTTATAGGTGCTGAAATTTGATGCCTATTTTCAAGAAGATATTCCTGCATCGGCTGAGGAACATTATAGAATTCGTCAAGTGAACATTTACTACTATCTGGAAGATGACAGCATGTCTATCATGGAGCCAATTGTGGAAAACTCTGGGATGCCTCAAGGCAAGTTAGTCAAACGCCATTGCTTACCCAAGAATGATGTGGGAGACCATTACCATTGGAAAGACCTAAATCGAGGAATAGACATCACAATTTATGGCAGAACTTTTCGCATTGTCGACTGTGACCAGTTCACACAGGTACATTATGTGTTTTTGGAAGCCGTGGGGTCTGAGGCATCATTCTAATTTATGGCAGGTATATTTCATGTATTAGGCTAAGGAGAAGACACTGTTACTCTGTCCTGCATAAATTATTTTCAAGTTAACTAAGTGTGCGTGTGTGTATGAGCTGATATGACAAGCTTGTGTAATAACATTAGTCTTTCAGAATAATATTAATACATATCCAGATAAAATCAGACTCCATCATACTGAATCATTTGCTAAAAAACAGTTCAGCAATAGCTCAAACAGAGTCAAGGAAGTAATAACTCTGGTAGCTTTGAAGTAGGGAAGAAGCATTGGACATTTAAGTTTGAGTTATAATAATAGTTCTATCTCTGTTAGCAAATAAAAGCCTAAATATTTATACAATTTATAAGCAAATAAAAGCCTAAATTTTTGTACAATTTATATAACATTTAAAAAATAGCATATGCTATTGTCTAGGAAAACTTTTCTAAGTGAATAACTTATTGTCAGAATTCTGAGGTTCAAGATGTATATATTTAATCAATCTTAGGACTTAACGCTGTTCTTGGGACCCTAACTTGATTGCTGGACTGAGCTACATTCACATCCAAACCCAATTTCCTTATCAACCTATCTTTCAGTTATCTTAGCACATTACCAGTACCATTGTATTAGTTTCTTTTGGGGTAGGAGAGGTATTGGGGACTCAACCCAGGGCCTTCACACTGAACTACATTCCCAGGCCTTTTTAAAAAATTTTTAGGGTCTTGCTAAGTTACTATGTTGCTCAGGCTGTATTCAAACTTGTGATCCTCCTGCCTCAGCCTCCCAGAGTGTCAGGATTGCAGTTCTGTGCTACCACACTCAGCTAGCAATTTTTATTTATTTATTTTTTATCGGTACCAGGGATTGAACTCCCAACCACTTGCTTGCAAGGCAGGTGCTTATGCCACTGAGCTAAATCCCCAGCCCCTCTCAGCTAGCAATTTTATAATACAGAATATTTCAGGAAATTGCCAATTATAACCTGCATTATAGAATTGAGTCAGTTGGGGACAGTATTTCTAAGATGAGCTCAAACTGAAACTAATGTTTAATTTGAGCAGTGGCATAGAAATTATTATACTTATTTTTATACTGTCAGTTTATTACTTGAAGAAACTCTAAGCAAGATGATCATTATTACTTTTGAAATATTTAGGCATTTTTGGAAAGTCAAGGAATTGAATTAAATCCACCAGAGAAGATGGCCCTTGACCCTTACACTGAACTCCGGAAACAACCTGTTCGCAAGTATGTCACTCCCTCGAATTTCGACCAACTCAGGAGATTTCTCACCTTTGACAAAAAAGTGAGTCACCTGGGCCAGGAGGGTTCCTTGTTTCCAAATGTGCATATTTATTGCACACCTTCTGTATTGTTTCCTATGCTAAAACATTGCATGTGTGATTTAACCGCTTGTATACAGTGCTATCATTCTAGTTTCCTCTAGGGTTGTTAGAGAAGGACCAGTGTCTAAGTTTATTACACCTTTGAAGACAGAATTAAGTTGTGTAAATCCTGTCAAACATTTATATTTTAAAACACTCGAGCTGTATCTGCTTCTCCCTACATTTCTGTTGACCATTTGTTTCCGTTAAATAAGTTAATCTCATAGGATCCTTTGAGAAACTTAAGTGGATTAATTAGGAAATTTCAAAGCTGTTGTATATTTGTCAGTCTCTAATATCAAAATAGTTAATTTCACAGAAATAATTATAAATGCTTTCTTTTTAAATGTCATATTATAGTTGGAATACAGAATGTTCTGAGAACTTTCCAACTGTCTCAACATCCCTGATCTTCTCCCTTATGAGCAGATTTGAATCATCTCATAACAGATTTGAATTCTCTTTCTGCACTAAAGGAAAAGAGAAAAAGGAGTAATTATCCTTAATGCTTCTTTGTTGCTCTTTTTTTCACTCTAGATACTTAACTTTCTTTAGTTCAGAAGTTTTATCTAATGTTAGCATGGCCTAAGGATTTTATTAGAAGACCATGATATTACACATATATGTGGTATTACTCTATATTTAAAAATGTATTGATATAGTTACTACAAAGTATGTGTTTATAGGACCAAAAATCAAAATAAATAAAAGCCTGGTTAATAAATGAAAATCCTTTCCATACTAATTATATATAAATCATTTACTTGTTTGTTTTTGTTTTGAGACAGGATCTCACTATGTAGTTTAGCCTTAAACTCACTACATTGCCCAGGTTGGCCGAGAGCTTGTGGCCCGAGCCTCCTGAGTATTGGAATTACAGATATGCACCACTTTACCCGGGCACACCTATATCTTTTTAAATACATGTAAACCACTTAAAGAGGGCCCCATTGCTCTTTTAACTCAGTTTCTCATTCATTAATATTTTGGGTCAAAATAAGTTCTTGTTACAAAATTATTTTTTGGAGTTGTTGACATCTGGTACACAATTTCCAGTGGTTTTGTATCTTTAATGAATGTTTTCTTTTTTTGCTTTGCCATCTGAGATTACTTCTTAGTCTTTATAGTTAGTCCTTTCATCGTTGTCTGATATATAAAGACCAATGTGGTGAACCCTTCACTTTTCGAATTCTTACTTAAGTCACTGCTTTGGCTTCCTCAAAGGTTCTTCGCTTCTATGCGATCTGGGATGACACTGACAGCATGTTTGGTGAATGTCAGAACTACATTATTCATTACTATCTTATGGATGATACAGTGGAAATTCAAGAGGTCCATGAACGGAATGATGGGAGAGATCCTTTCCCACTGCTGATGAACCGCCGGCGCATTCCCAAGGTCCTGGTGGAAAATGCAAGTATGTTTGGTTTAACATAAGGCTTACAAGTTTGTCCCTGTTACTGGAACCTTTGTTCTGTATCTCCAAGGAGTAACTTAATCAGCCTTGAGAGGCTCTAGTCATGTTTTCCTGGGTGCTCAGCAACTGTCTTTCCCACAGCCTCCCACCTTTATCTCCCTCCCTGCCCAAGGCCTGCCTCCCAGTCTGTAGGGATGGTTGGTATGCAGAACTCGATAACAAAAACAGAAGAGCGGCAGGAGATTCACTCAAAGAAAGGTAGAAACGAGGATTCGAAACTGAAGCAATCTAAGAGCAGATTTTTAATGTATTTTTCAAATAGCTCTATTTCCATCTAAAAATATAACTGCTAAGCTATATTCTTACATGCTTCCCTGACTTTGCTTCTCATCTTAACTACTTTCTAAGCAGGAAGTTTCTGTAGGGTTTAACCTGAGGTCTGGAAAGGCTTACCTGTGTCTTGTAGACGTAAGAGTCCCATTGTGTAGAGCATGACTCTTTCTTTGCTTGTTTAAAATAATTTGCATACTAGGATATGGGAAAGGAGCAAAGGAAGGAAAAAGGTATAAATTTGTTTATATATATATATATATATATATATATATATATATATATAAAATAGCTAAGATGATTATACTACTAATTCTATTAGTTCTTGGAAAAGAACAGTTAATACTCATAGATTAGATCAGTTTGCATGTCTATATCTAGTAATCTAAGCAACTCTTGAAGATAACACTATGCCGTATTACAACCACTGTTAAATTCCTATCATCTTGTTTTGAAAGCATATATCGTTATTGCTTTGGATTTTTTGTTGTTCTTGTAGTTGTTTGTCTCTTGTTTTTTGTTTTTCTTTTTTTGTGTTTTTTTCTCTTTAAAAAAATTTAAAAAAATAAAGTAAATCCACTCATAAAAAATAAATAACTTGGGTTAAATAAATAAATAAATAAATAAAATAACTTGGGATATTGGAGAGTAGAAAGGCAACAAAAGGTCAGTAGCTACCTGCTGTCACTATTTCTTAGGGTAACTAGTCATGATTTAATTATCAACTCTGCAATTAAACAAATGCAAAAATGTGTTCTTAGTCACATGTAGGGATGTCTCTCATGTTGAGACACGAGACAGAATTCTGTAAATACTTCCTTGATTTATTTTGTCTTTTTACACAATTTTTGGGAGCCAGAGATAAAAAATTCTCATAGAGTAGGAGGTCTGTATAGGTTGAATAAAGACTATAAACAAAGTTGACATTCTAAAGGCTAAATTCACCCCACCCACATGGATTCTGGGCCTCCTGCAGGTGTTTTAATTTAATGAGTATTATTTGTGGGCAAGGACTCAGGGTTTTTAATCATCGTGAGATGAGATAATCAAATGCACTAACAATACACCTTGGTTAACATGCAGTAGGTAGAAGCAACAAACAAGATGTATACCGAAGACAGAGGAGATGTTAAAGGTATAATGCTGTGTAGAAAAGTAGTAAAAAGCCATACTGCAGTAGCATTTACATAATGTGAAATCTACACACAGCATAATGCACATGGTACACATTCAGTCAGAAAGTGGCACATTATTGGCAGTGGAGACTCTGGCTGCCATGGTGATTGTCAGGATCCAGGGAGAATCTGCAGTGCTTGACCACAGGCCAGTTTTTGTGAATGAGGCGTCTGAATCCACGCTAGTCCCAGACGGAGGCTTGATGGGGATGGATTACCCTTTTTAGGTGCTCTCTGCTTTGTGCTGATATGAAATAAATTATGCTATATCTCAGTAAACTAGAAAAATAAGAACAAACTAAATCAGAGTTAGCATTTGGAAACAAGAAAGATCAAATCAGCAAATGAAATAGAGACTTAAAAACTAAAAAGGATCAATTAAAAAAAGATCTGGTTCTTTAAAAAGATGAACAGGATTGGCAAACCCTAAACTAGACTAACTGAAAAGAAAGAGAAGGCTAAAATAAAATCGGAGATGAAAAAGGACATATTAAAATTATTATGCACAATTATATGACAACAAATTAGATAAACTAGAAGAAGTAGAAAATTTTCTGAACATTTTACTTAGCAAGATCAACACAAGGAGTACAAAACTAGAATAGACTAATAAAAGTAACAAGACTGAAGCATTAATAAGAAGCCTCCTATTAAAAGCCCAAGACCAGAGGGCTTCACTGCTGAATTAATCAAACATTTAAAGAAGAATATACCAATTATTCTTAAATTACGCCCCCAAAAGTTAAAGAGGAAAGAATTCTTCCAAACGTTCTTTGATGTCAGCATTACGTTAATAAAGTAACTACAGGTCAGTATCCTTATGAATATAGATATGCAAATCCCCAACAAAATACTATCAAGCTGAATCTATCAGCTCACTTTAAAGATAACTCACTGTGATTAAGTTGGATTTATCCCACCAATGCCAGCATGGTTCAGATATACAAAGTAATAGATCCGATGCAGCATATCACAGAATGAAACACAAAGTCATGTGGTCATCTCAACAGATGCAGAAAAAGCACTCAATCAAACTTAACATCCCTTTATAATAACGTGGAACAAAACTGACATGGAATGTGTATACCTCAGTTTAATAATGGCCACTAAGCCAATAGCTAACATTTCCTGATTGAAAGAGAAACTGAACACTTTCTAAGTTTTGAAACAAAAGAGGGATCTCCACTTTTACTACTTTTATTCAACATAGAGTTGAAATTCCTAGTTAGAGCAATAAGTCAAAACAAAATAAAAGCATTCAAATTGGAAACTAGGACGTCAGTTTATCATTTGCAGATGGCATGATCTTCACATCTAGAAAACCTCAGACATTGCCAAAAACAATTGGAACCAGTAAATGAATTTAGTAAACTTACAAGATAAAAAAGTAAACATATAAAAATTAAGTGTTGCTATGTACCAGTGACTAATTATCTGAAACAGAAATAAAGAAAGCAATCATATTTACAATAGGTAGAAGAGATGTCTACAAATAAATTTAACCATCCCATGTCCATGAGACTCAGTATTGTTAAAATGCCCTTAGTACCAAAGCAAATTACAGATTCAATGTGATCGATCAAATTACTGATGAAATTCTTCCCAGAACTGGAAAGACCAATCCTAAAATTTGTATGAGAACAACAAAACATACAAAGAAAAAATATAACCAAAGCTGTTTTGAGAAGGAACAAAACAGGAAGCATTATACTACCTGATATGAAAATATGCTACAAAGCTGTAGTACTCAAAACAACATAGTATTGGCATAAAAACAGACATATAGAACAATGAAATAGAATAGAGAGCCTAAATGTAACACACACTCACACACACACTCACACACACACAAATCTTTTTTTTGAGATTTTTTTTATTTAAGGAGAAAAGAAAAGAAAGAAAAAAAAACAGTGAAGGGGTACAAGTTATACAGATTTACAGAAGAAAAAAATGCACAGTAGGAAATCACTAGTTAATGGATTACATATTGCCATCTTAGAAATAATTGTTCAAGTCACAAAATTAAAGCTTGTAGAGTGGACATTCCAACAATGATACTGCAAACAGTTCTGTTCAATGATCCAATAAAATCTTGAGCTAAGTAATTTTGATAGAAGTGCTAAGAGCATACACTGGCAAAAGGACAGTGCTCAAAAAATAATGTTAGGAAAATTGGGTATCCACATGCTGAGAAGGGAGATCAGACCTTTGTCTCTTTCCAGTTAAATCAACTCAAAATAGATTGAAGACCTAAATGTAAGACACAAAACTGAAACTTTAAAAAGAAAACATAGGACAGATACTTTAGGATATTGGAACGGCCAAGGATTTCACAAGGACAAGATGCCCGAAGCACAGGGAAGAAAGAAAAAGAAAAAAGCATAACTAGATAAATAGGGTTATGAAAAAGTAAAGTTTTCTCCACAGCAAAGGGAAAAAAAATCAAGAATATGAAGAGACAACCTACAGAACAGGAGAAAATATTTGCAAATTAAACCATTGACCAAGAGTTAATATTCAGAATATACGAACTGAAAAATCTCATTTGCTAAACAAACAAACAAACAAACAAATCCACTTAAAATTGGACAGCAGAGTCTTGCTGAAACTGAATCCCTTAAAATCTCATGTTCCAGATTTGTCTCTGCCTTATCGGTGTGACAGAAGTTTAAACTTTTTAATACACAATTACCATCTTCTATAACTTCTCAGTGGTAAGTATTTTCCTTAGAGTTGAATGGAGAAGCAGTGAGGTGACATATGTACTGTTTTTTAGAGAGACAGGAAACATCTTTGTATGCAAGTCAATGTTAGTCATAAGGCAGTTGTATGGAAAAGACTCCAGCTCCTGTCAGTTAAATAATTACTTGAATGAGAGTAGTGGGATTAAAGAAAAGGCATTTAATTGAGTCTAAAAGGCATTTATCCAATGGTTGATTTTTCTTAAATTCAGTTAAACATCAGTTAAATAACTGCTGTAGCAACCGTTTCATATGCTAAGAGCTATGGAGCACCTTTATTGGCTTAGTCATTTAAATAATGATAATTGAACATACTTATGAATGAAGGGAACACTATGTTTGGAGTGAAAAATCCAAAACTAAGTATAAGTCCATATTTCGAAGACTTTATAATCTTATGAGAAGTGTGCATCAATAGCAGGTATTTACACTATATCAATATTACCACATTGATACTATAATTTCAAATGTAAATATACCTCCATTGTTTGGCTAGAATACTGGAGACAGTGACACAGTAAGGAAAGTTCTCAAGAACCAGAAGCAAAGAAGGACTTACCAATTCACAAAGATAAGCAAACACTAGAGTTGGAGGCAGGTGAGGTGGTGCACTTCTGTAATTCCAGTACTCAGGAGGCTGAGGCAGGAGAAACCTTTCAAATCTGAGACCAGCCTGTGCTACAAATTGAGGCCAAGGCCAACCTGAATCACATAGCGAGATCCTGTCCCAAAAAGACCAAAAAAACCCAAAACAAAACAAATCTAGTGGCGGAATTTGTACAAAACCGTATAAGCACACAAGAGAGAAAGCCAGGGGAAACAAACAGGATGACCAGGATTGCCTATGAAGCTGAGATCTCAGAAGGATGATCATCAGAGGGTGAACTCTTCTACAGAAAATTTGCTTTCCTCTTCAGTCTTAACTCTGAGTAGAAAAGGAAGAAAGAAGTCTTTCAAGAAGTTTCCACAACCAACATTTTCACATATGCAGCCAGAATTGAATTTATATACTGTATATGTTCTCAGAATACTAAATTGAAAATTCAGATTAAATTGACCTGGCATAGTAATGCCACAGTTGCCAGGTGAAACAAACACAAATCATTGTGAAAGGATTTCTTTTTAAACCCATGATTCAAGAAATTCTCACAAACACAAATCAGTAGCAAGACCTACATATAAAGAATTTTCATATGATTAGAACACCAATGCACACGTGACCTTTTCTCTCATACACATCACAATAATAATAATAATGACAATAATTATACCTCATCAGAAAGCAGAAAGAAATAACTAATAATGTGCTCTTACAAAGAGTGCAACTACTTGAACTATAGAGAATAAAAATAAATATATTCAGTAAGTTTTACAAAAAGAAAAGGTTTCAGAATACTGAGAGGTTATCAAAATTGACCAAACAGGTTTGGGAAAGAACCCAAGAGAAATTCAGAGAAGTATAAACATAATCATTGGTATAAGAAAGTCCATAGAAGGTAAAATAGTAGACTAGCCATAGGTGAAGAAAGAATCAATCTAAAAGAAGCTGGACAAAGAAGGTTTAAGATACGTGAAGAACAGAAACACAGTAAATCTAGTTGGAATTCCAGATGGAGAAACTAATGATAAATGAGGGAGAAGCAAATGTATGCTCACTAAGGTTGCACAATTCATATACGTTAAAAGTTAGAACAGCAGTGATAGCGCAAATCTAAAGGAATTTCAATGAAATAAATAAAATAAGCCTGGAAATAATAAAATTGAAAACAAAGATAACAGAGATTTGTTAAAGCAAAGGTGGTTTCTTTGAAACTAATAAAATAACTATTGACAAGATTTTCTAGGGGGTAAAGGAATATATGTAAAATATTAAAAGCAAAAGAGTCATTTTTAAAAATGCAAAAGGGATTAAACATAAGAGAATATCAAGTTTCTGCCGATAAATTTGAAAATAAGCAAATTTTCAAAAAATTATACAGTAGTTTTCTCAAGAAGAAATAGATAGCAAATGTCTATAACCATTAAAGAAGCAAATTCAGTTTTTAAATTCCCCACAGAGAAAATACCAGAGTAGGTAAATTTTATAGATTGTTTTTACCAAACACTCAAAGAATAATTTTAAGTTCTTTCAGAGAAAAATAAAGTGCTTACTTCATTCATTTAAAACAGGTGAGTGAAACCAAAGGCATTGTGGGAATAAAAATTACAGTAAATCTCACTCATAAACATAGATGCAAAAATCCTGAAGTATCAGTAATGCATGAAAAAAAAATAGTTTTTTGATCAAAAAAGTCAAATGACTGAGTAAGATGCACGCGAGTACCAGATCTCCCGGAACATGATACACTGAGAAACTCAAGCAGCTGTGAATTACGCCTCCTGTTGCTCATCACTTCCTGGGCTACTCAAGGAACTGGTGGGGCTGGGCAGCAGATATGGGAGAAGGCTCCTTAGACTATCCAGGATGCATGCTTGGGAAAATGACAGCACCTCCTTACTCTGAAGAAGGAGATGACGTCTGGCTGTAGCAGACTCAGTCTTTCTCCTGTTTTTCTGTCATAGCAATTATCAGCTAGGAAAATACAAGTTTACTTTCATTCTCTTTGAGATCAGGGTCCTGCATTCAAAATTGATGGTTGTAACTTTAAGATGCACCCCGCCAGAATTTACTGACTCATGATTTCTATGAAGGCCAAGCTGTAAGGACTCAATCTTAGACAAGTTAACGTTTCATTCTCGTAAGACACTATGACAAAACTGGATTTGTTCCAAACATGCAAGTCTGCCTCTAAAAAATCTGTTGATTCCCACAGGAATGGATTACTGTAATCATCTCATTAACTGTCTCTGCCCTCTGCCTCCAGGACTAGGTCACACTGTCCTAATAGCAGTGATTACAACTGAAATGAAACCATTCTTTATGTAATTGTTTAGTGTCTGTTTCCCAAACAGAATATTTTCTCCATGAAGGCAGGAGTTGTGTCTGTACTATTACTTGTTGTAATGCTGTATTTAGCCATGTATTTAGCATTGGAGTAGTTACTAAGAATTGTTGCATGCACATATGAATGTGTGGGAAGCTGAACCAAATAACTTGGATCCTCCCTAGATCTGAGACTCTTGCCTGTCCTATAAAAGGTCATTTGTTCTTTCCTCCCATAGTGGTTTCTTCTAAGAACTAATTGTGTTAAGCTTTGTGATTTTGAGTAAAGATCCTGCTGAATATGGGAAAGACTTTACACAAACCATCTGGGATGTTATTTATGTGTCCTGTCAACAGCTGCAAATATATAGCCTTCTGTACTTGTGTGAATGTAAAAGAATCCCTGCCTCTGGACAGAGTGTACTTCCCTAGTCTCAAGAATGCTGGTCCTTGTGTGTCAGTCCTTCTTCCTATACCCATTTCTTCTTTCTGTTTAACTCCACTTTACGTTAGAGAACTTCCCCCAGTGTGTGCTGGAGATCTCTGACCAGGAGGTCTTGGAATGGTACACTGCCAAAGACTTCATCGTAGGGAAACCGCTCACTATCCTCGGGAGAACTTTCTTCATCTATGATTGTGATGAATTTACTCGACAGTTCTACAAAGAAAAGTTTGGAATCGCCGACTTACCACGTATTGATGTAAGCAAGAAGGAACCACCTCCCATAAAACAGGTAATGGAGCAGGAGTCCTGAGTGTAGTGAGAAAAACATTTTTCTTTTACCTAGAAATTAAAAAAAGAGAAAGAATTTCTCCATGAATACAATACTTAGTAAAAATGGACAAAGTATAGATAGTGGAGTAGTTCGCAAAAAAACAAATGGCTGAGAAACATTTAAAGAATCTCAATTTAACTGGTGATCCAAGAAGTCAAATGAAAACAGTGTGAGGCTGATTAAAATCTGCTCAATGGGGGAAACAGGATGGCAGCCCTTTAGTTCCTCTGGAATCATTTCAGCTGTAGGGGAAGAGGCTGGGGGGGGGGGGATGTAACAACAATGGCCACTTGCCTTTTATCTTCCCCTCTCTGACCAGAAGTAGCCATTACTGAAGAGAGCACAGATCAGCAGTATTTGGAGGATAGGGCACTCGTGTGCCCAGTCTGGCTCCCGCTCGCTGTGTGCAGGTGCCATAAGCTGCACACCACAGATCTAGCCAGGTAGGATGTGTAGCTGCCACTCTGCTAAGAGTTACTGTCCATGGCTTCCCCTAGACATTAGAAGGCTGCAGTGAAGTCTAGAGATCTAAAATGCTGACCTTGGGTGGATTCTGCCAGTGTGATTGCTGTCTAGGTAGGGAGACCTACTCCTTGTGCCCATCGTGTTCTCTTAGCACCTAATTTTCCCTCATATTACTTTTACATTTTAGTTTTTTTTTAAATGACATCTTTTTGAAATTACATAATCCATGGCATTTCTTTGTCTGTTGCCTGTTTATCAGTTTTTCACTTAAAAAAATGATTGGGGCCTGGTGTGGTGGCACACACCTTTAATGCCAGCTCTCAGGGAGACTGAGGCAGGAGAATTGCTGGGAGTTTGGGGCCAGCCTGAGCTGCATAGTGAAACCCTGTGTCAATAAAAAGATGGCAGCAAAACAAAGACTGATTAGCTGATGCTGGAAGACAGCTTTCTTTCACTGCAATATAGGCGTCCTTAGAACCATACAGAGCCACACAGTTCCGTTCTGTGCACCATAAAACCTCACTCTGATCTGAGTTTTCATGCCAGTTTTAATGCACCAAAATGATAATCTGATAAACTTGATCCTTCATAACTTCAGCCAAGACACATATTTTAAAGAGTTTCAAATAAACATTGTATGTCTTAAATTTCATATTATATAGCAAATTCATGATGTATCTAAGGTGTTAAGATGATGCAGTATCATGGACTAAAAGCAGTGATATTTGCTATACTGGAGCTGATGCAACTCGTGTTAACCTCTGTTTCTTGCCTATGTATAAAATAGGATTTTAATACTGGCATCTCGTATTTATACTGCCACTGTATACACAAAGCTATGTCATTGGACTTTTTCTCATGAAAAGAAATGATTTTAAAAAGGTGAAATTGTTGAATTTCTCCATGCCAAGCCCTTCTCCACCCCATTTGCTTCTCGCCTTGCTTGTGCTTGATCACCAGTCATTCTGAATTATGTGTGATTCTGTTCTGTTTCTCTGGATTTTTCTGGTTCTCTTCCATCTGCTTGATCACCTTTCCATCATTATTTCCCACAGCTCTTTTTTATACTTCAATATTTGATATAGGCCTCCTCTCCAAAAAGATTTCCCTAAAGCTCCAGGCAAGGCTAAAAGCCTTATGTCTATGTTCTTGGGGGTATTGTCTGTCTCCCTCCTGTATTATATTAAAGTATCTGTTTGAAACTTTTTCTACTAGACTGTAAATTCCTTGAGGGCAGGCCCCATGTCCTAGTCCTCTTTCTGCTCTGAACACTAATACAATCTCTTATAAACAGCAAGCAGGTGATAATGTTTCTTGAACTGGACTGAGGAAAGATGTCTATGCAATATGTATGGTGTTTCCTAGAAAGATAGTGATGTCCTATGCAAGACATTGTAAAACAAAGCTTCATAAAAACAATTACAAAAAGATTGAATTTTGGTGGGCTAGTAGTTCCCAGGGGCAATGAAATTTCTAGAAAGAAGTGTGCCACCTCTGTGCTGTCAGTTTTCTTTCTGACAGAACTCTTTATCAATAGATGTGCTCATTGTTTAAGAATTATAATAAGCCTCTTGCCCCTAAATTTGTCTTACAGCACTTGATCTATTCTACAAGGGAAAAATAGCACAGGAACAGATCTAGATTTTGATCAAGTGGCATATTCTACAAATTTAGTTTATAGATATGAGTAGGGTGAGATAACAGTTTAAATTGTCTCAACTTGTCTAGGGTTCCATTGTCAGGTACAAGGATATTTCTATTATATGTCAAAAATTAATACAAAGTGGGCTGGGGATGTGGCTCAGTGGTAGAGCTCTTACCTTGCATGCACAAGGCCCTGGGTTTGATCCCTGGCACCATCAGAAAAACAAACAAACAAAACAACAACAAAATTAATACAAGAAGGAGGTAAGCTGGGGAGGGACTGCCACGTAGTAACATACTTTTTATCCAATGAAAGCTTTTGCATCTAAGAGCACACTGTGCCTCATCATCATAACTATGATCTTTTTTCTTATAACCTATCCTCTAAGGAAAGAAAAGACAGGGGAAACTGACATAAAGGTGAGATAACTGAAGAACCACTGTAGCTTTTGTCTGGTGTGTTTGTTTTTCCCCATCCCAGCCCCTCTGTTCTAATAATCTAATCCTATATAATGAAACATCTATACTTTATTTCTAGTGATTTCTCTATGATATGTAATTCTAATATAAATAAGTTTTCCCTGCTCATCCTTGAAGTCTTTGTCAGAAATGAGTAGGAGAGCACCACTTATCAAGAAGCAGTAATTTTTAGGCAGTATATGAATGTGCCTAGTCATTACACTTCAGTCATTTTAATCCTAAGCAATATAAATAGAAACCACGGATGAGAGTTGATGGCCAGGTCAAGAGAGAAAGCTAGAGCCAAGCCAATGATCATGAACAGAAGTGGAGATAGATGGGTGTATTCAACTTCAGAATTACGATAAGTCTACAGGTCAAGCTGATCTGCTGGGTCAGCATTAAGTAAATATGGATCTGATGGAAAAGTATGTTTTACGTTAGGCTTGTTCCATCTGAAGGAGGAGGAAGCTAGAGCCAAAAGAACTTATCTGTAATGGGGGTGGCTGCTAAAAGAAGATCTGAAGGATTATGAGACTCAAGATCTAAGTGCACTAGACCAGGAGAGCTCAGCAGAACCATGTCCACAGTCAGAGTAGCTTGTGTAATTTGGAACAGAACCCAGAGAGTAGCGATAAGTATAAAAAAGAAAGCAAGAAATCAGAACTTCAGGTGTGTGGGCTGATGTTTAGGGACAGATTTACCATAGTCCAGGGAAGTGAACTGTGATTCAGGGAAAACTCAGTTCTCAGTCCAGCTCCAACCTGACACGCTCATTGTATGTTCATACAAATCCTAAACAGGTTCAAGTTATACCACCTTGCAGTTTCTGTCTAATGTCCTCAGAAACTCAGATGTTTAGCACGTTGTAGCTCAGCCTTGGGTCCCTTCTTCATGAGAGCCTGTATCCTCACTGGGTAGTGATTTTGCTCATTGTCCCTCTGCTGAATATGCTAGTCATATTCTGGCCATATTTATCACTTTAACTGTAGCCTTTGCAAGTGGATGAGGGAAGTCAGTATTCCAACTAGTATACTTTGGATGAATGTGGTAAGATCATTTGTTCAGTACCCTGTCATGACTGGTATAAATACTGGTGGTATGGGCTGATTTGATGAAGTACCTGCAAACAATATAAAACAAGATTTGGGGAAAGTAAAAGAATATATGAGCTGAGGTTCCTAAGAAAGACAACAAAAAAGAACTGGGGGAAAAGAACCCTGTTACTCTTTACTGAATGCTGTTGAGGAAGAAGAAATTAGCCATTCACCTGAAGATTTTAAGTAAGGAATCTTAGCTTCCTATAGTGATGCTTTAAGCACTTCATGGAGCTTGAATGAAACATAAGCATGTCTGTCATCTTCTGTGTCAGGTTTTTCTCAACCCTTCTCCAAATCCAACACACACACACACACACACACACACACACACACACACACACACAAACACACACACACGTTCAGTGATCCAAGGGAATAGTTTCTAAGTCTGCTAGGTCGAGGCCTACATCTTGAAACAAAATGATTACAGACCACATCATCCTAGGGTGACTCAGGGTCGTCTGCGGTTGGGAGAGAAGATGGGATTGGGCCTGCTGTGGCAGGAAGGGGTCAGTGGACAGAATCAGTAGTGTGCACCTAGCCTCCAGCAAGTGCTGCATGGCATCATTAATGACCCCTGCCATCAGCGAACAGGATGAAAATCATAAAGGAATAAGTGATATTATGTTTTCTGACCACATTTATAATATATGGGAATTTTTTGGAATGTGTTTTACATACTTTTTAAAGAAACTTGTAAATATCTTTAATGTACTTGAACACATTGCTTCCTGTATTTTTCTAGGAATTACCTCCGTATAACGGTTATGGACTACTTGAAGATTCTGCTCAGAATTGCTTTGCTCTCATTCCGAAACCTCCAAAAAAAGATATTAAAATGCTGCTGAGTGACAACAAGGTGCTTCGTTATTTGGCTGCACTGGTAGGGCTAATTTTAAATTTTTATTTTTCTAATTAGTGCATATGGTTGGATTAAGTTGTGTGTTTTATTTTGTTATATTTGTATGAGTATAAAATACACTTTGACCACCACACCTCCAGAAACCCCTCTCTTTTTCCTCTCCCTCCCCAACCCCCTTCCTCCTTTATTTTCCTGTCATTTGTTTTTTAAAAATTCACCCTTAGATCTTTCATATGGCAGAACATATGCTATATCTGATTTTCTCAGTATGGGTTATTCCTGTTGTTTTCCTGCAAATGACATGATTTTGCTCTTTATGACTGAATAGTATTCCACTCTGTGTGCCACATTTTCTTTATCCATTCATCTGCAAAGGGCATTACCCTGTTTCCATAGATTAGCTATTATGAATTGTCCTGCAATAGATGTGAGTATGCAGAACTACACTGATTTCAGTTCCTTCAGGGCTATAACAAAAAATGATATAGTAAGATCACAGCAGGCCCAATCCCACTTTCTCTCCCAACTGCAGATGACCCTGTAGTCACCATAGGATGATGTGGTCTGTGAGTTTGTCTGTAATCACTTTGTTCCAAGATGTGGACCTCAACCTAACAGACTTAGAAAGTATTCCCTCCTATTGTTGATGTGGTGTCAATTATTTTCCTACTGATTTAGTGGTGATGGAGAACATCTTTGTGTTTTTCCTGACTTTAGACGGAAAGCTCTCAGTTTTTCCCCATGTAATACGATGTTGGCAGCAGGTTTGTCACAAATGGCTTTCATCACGTGATGTTTTTCTATACCTATTTTCTTCAGGTTTTTTTTTTTGTCATGAAAGGATTGTAGGGTTATTTTAAAATTCTATTTATTAAGGAATCCCCGTGCTGAACCTCCATGCTGGCTTTTGTAATGGTGGTACTAATTTACATTTCTACCAACAGTGTAGAAGAGTTCTCTGCCCACCCTATCCTCCTGCTTTGCTCTTGCTTTTTCTAGGATTGCTTTTGCTATTCTAGGTCTCTTCTGATTCCTTATCAATGTTGGGCTTATTCTCTCCACTGCTGTGAAGCATGCTATTGGAGTTTTGATTTGATTAGGGTTGTGTTAAATCTGTATATCAGCTGACAAAGTATGGCCATTGTGACTGTCTGTCCAAGAGCAGGAGCCATCTTTCCTTCTTCTGATGTCTTCTTCAATCTCCTTTTTCAGTTTTTGTTGTAGAGCATTTTGCCTCATTAGTTATGTTATGTTAATTCCTCAGTATTTAACTTTCCTTGGTGCTATGGTGAGTGGTATTTTTCTCTAATTTGTTTCTCACTGGGTTCATTATTAGTGTACAGAAGAAATACTGTTAATTTTTTGTGTTGACATTTTGACTGTTAACATTTTGCATGTTGCTACATTATTGAATTTGATTATTATTTTAGTGGATTTTTGGATTGTATATGTGGAAGGTGTCACTGGAAATTATTAATAATACTTTGACTTCTTTTTTTTCCTGAACATATCCCTTTTATTTCTTTTTCTCCCCTAACTGCTCTTCCTAACATTTCAAGTATTTAAACAGAAGTGGTGATGGAGGACATCCTTGCTTCTTCCTGACTTTAGAGGGAAAGCTTTCAGTTTTTCCTCAGGTAATATGATGTTGGTGGCAGGTTTGTCACAAATGGCTTTTATCACATTAAGATTGTCGGTGTCGCTCCCGGCCGGCAGGAAGAACACACGACAGGATCTGGCAGTGGCAAGGCGCTTTTATTTTCTCTCCCTTTCACAGTCTGCCCCGGGAATCCTCCCGGCCGAAGCCTCTGTTGGTCCGCTCCCCGCGGCTCCTTCCGTGCTTCTCTTCCGCAGGGTGGAGGCGCTGGCTTATATACCGATACAACCTCCAATCATATCGAAGCAGTTCGGGCGAGCTGATTGGCTAGCGTCACTGGTGACTAGGTAGACTATTCTGCTGAGCAGGCGCTTAATGCAGAGATACAGATCAGGAAGCAGGAAATAGGCGCCATCTCGGCGTGCTCGATGGGAGGGGTAATCTCAGGCTTTGCTCTTTCCTACGGGCCTCGCGACCGTCACTCAGGGTGACCTAGTGGTGCTGTGGCTCCTAACGTCTCCCCCTTTTTTATTTTTTATGAATGTGCGCATCGTAGCCCTTCCTGGACTGGGTGCAGAGGCTTATGCCCTATGCGGAGGCCCACCGTAGGTCCTTGGCTTAGACCCTGGTCGGCCGTCCCATGGTCTGCCAAGGCCCTGAGGCCCTCGTCCTTTTTCTAGGGCCAGGCACAAACTGGACGGAACCTGGATGCACACAAGCTTGCACTCATTTCCTCTCCGTAAAGAAATCCCCTCGGAGAGAAATTTAGACCTGGGCAGCATCTAACAGTCCAGCGGCTTACGTGCAGGATAGGGTAGGGCCTGGCTTAGGTTGAGCCGCACCGGGGGAGTACGCTCTTACCCGTCATTGACTCTCCTACCCAGCTATGTCATAATTTTTTAGAGGAGGAGTGTGGGAAGCTCACCGTCCCTAGACTCGGTCGTAGGCTAGGCGAGCGAGCCATGCATATGCCTGAGGATCTTCTTGTCCATTTTGGGCTACCGCTATTTCTATTCATCTTGTTGGTTGGTCTGTGATGGATCTCCGGTAGGGCAGGTCTGATCTTCAGTCGAGGGCTTTGTCGCCCGTGTCAGTCTCTCCGGTACCCACAGTGGTTCTCGTCCCGGTTCCTGTGGGAAGACACAAACCGCACCTCGGTTCCAGCTGACCACTGGATCCGGGCCCATCCATTGTCCTGTCAGGACATCTTTCCACTTCACCCACCCTTTATGGTTGGGGGAAGGGTTGCAGTGCTCCATAGCTGGGGAGCAATTATCATTATTTAAATTTAAAAAATTGTGTGTGAATAGTGCCATGGATAATCGTGCCTTTGGGGGCAGTCCTTGACCTACTCCCCCTTTTTGTTTATCTAGAATTGCTTTGAGACTTCTGTGAGCCCTTTCGATAATTCCCTGACCTTGAGGATTGTATGGGATACCATGTTTTAACTGGACTTCCATCATTGCGCAGAAGTCATTGAAGGCTTTCCCCGTGTAAGCTGGTCCGTTATCGGTCTTTAATGTTTTGGGTTTGCCCCATGCGGCCCAAGCCGCCAGGCAATGATTGATCACATTAGACACTTTTTCACCTGTTTCTGGTGTTGCAAATATGACGTGAGAACAGGTGTCTGTGGAAACATGAACATATTTAAGAGTCCCAAACTCCTGTATATGTGTGATGTCCATCTGCCAAACATCACCAGGGATCAAACCTCGAGGGTTTACTCCCATCGGTATGGCAGGTTTGTATGTGGCACAGGAGCCACATAGTCGCACGATATCTCATGCATCTGCTCTGGGAACATGGAAATGGTTTGCTAGTGTCCTGGCATTGACATGAAACTTATCATGGAAGGCACGGGCTCGCTCGATTGGTGTTAGTAAGGTAAAAATCCATAACGGGTGAGTGGCAGTGTCAGCAGCCGCATTCCCCTGTGCCATAGGCCCTGGCAGGGATGTATGTGCTCTTATGTGGGTGGTGAAGACCTTATGGTGTCTGTTCTGAAGCAATGTCTGGATAGACAGGAACAGCCCAGCCACTGTGGAAGTGGATCTAATTAAACCGGCAGTCTCAAGCACTTGCATAGCATTGACCACATACCTAGAATCGGAGACAATGTTAATGGCTCCTGAGAACCTTTCAAGAATCATTTTAACGATCTGCAGTTCCACCACCTGAGGCTGATCTGGTTCAAATTGTATGGTAACCGGGGGCTTGCCTAGGATCACATAGGCGCCTATCCCCGTCTTGGAGCCATCTGTATATATTGTAGTTGCTGGGACTAATGGCTCAGAGGCAGTAACCTTTGGAAAAATTACAGGGTGCTGAGTAACAAATGACAAGATAGGGTCTTTAGGGTATTGATTGTCTATATCCCCATGGAAAACACATCTCAAAATGGCCCAAGTATCTATGCAGGCAGCCAGGGTCTTGATCTGGCTGGCGGTATAGGGTACTCGGATGGCTTGTGGTCCTGAGCCAAAATGTTGGACAGCTCTATCATGCGCTTCAAGGGCCAATGAAGCGACTGCCTCCGGGTAATGTTCTATGACTTTTGCAGGTGAGACCTTAGGGTGTATCCACAGGAGTGGTCTTTTCTGCCAAATCACCGCTGTGGGCTGTAGACTAGTCTGTAGCAAACAGACGTCAAAGGGTCGCCCTGGTTCAATTCTGTGTAAGGTAGCCCCACCTAAGGCTTCCTCCACTCTCTGTAAGGCAGCTCTTGCCTCAGGAGTGAGCCTCCTGTGGGAGGCTATATCTGGGTCTCCCTTCAGAAGGTCGAACAGGGGTTTGAGATCTGAATTTGGTATATGTAAATATGGCCTAATCCAATTAATGTCTCCCAATAGCTTTTGCATGTCATTTAGGGTCGTAACGCCATCTGTCCTAATGGTGACCTTCTGCGGAGAGACTAGCATAGGGGAGATTCTCGCGCCTAAGTAGGTCACCATTTCTCCTCCCTGAATCTTGTCGGGGGCAACATGCAGATTGGCTTGTCTCAGGGCCTCGACCAACTGGCCGAGCATATTATTTAGCATGTCTGGGTCCCTGTCGCTGAGCAAAAGGTCGTCCATGTAATGCACACATCTTATCTTGGGAAAGGATTTCCGTAGGGGGGCCAGTAGGGAATCAAGGTAAATCTGACACATAGTGGGACTGTTGGCCATACCTTGGGGCAGTGTTATCCACTCGTATCTGAGATCAGGGCTTTCTTGGTTAATGGTGGGTAAAGTAAAGGTGAACCTATGGGTGTCCTCTGGATGCAGGGGGATTGAGAAGAAACAGTCTCTAAGATCTATAACATAAATCGGCCAAGACTGAGGGATGGCTGAGAGAGCTGGCAGCCCCCTCTGGACCGCCCCCAGGGACTGCATCTGCGCGTTGACCGCCCTTAGATCATGGAGCAGCCTCCACTTGCCAGACT